CGTGTCCAACTCAAGCCAAGAAACAGCATTAGGCCCGGGGCCCTGCGGCCTGCATTTGGACCGGCCTCGCTGGCATGTGTATGTGCTCGAGAGCGAGAAAGAGAGTGCACCTTTTCTCCTCCAATGAGCTCTGGATGAAGGAAAAAAGTTCTTTATATCAATTAGCCAGACAAGTGTGCAATGGACACCTGTCACCCCACGAGCCCTCCTCCCCAGCCTGCTCTGATCAAGGACCGTCTGCCGTCCTGTTCTGCATCCATTCTAAAAGAAAACATCTAGGCTGATCTCAGATCGGTGCACCTTTCCTCTTGGGTGAAAGTGCTGGTGGCCCGTAGCTGAGCCAGGGGGGCCGTCCCAGCTCTGCCTGAGAGGCCAAGCAACGGCTGCACAGCAGACACAAAATCTGGGGCACAGACCATCTGGCTGACAATGCAGTCTGAAGTGAAGAGGCTGTCGGACGTTTGTTGCCAGCATGGCTCGCAGAAGCAGGACATTAGATACCATAAAAACACACACACACACTCGGCTATACAAAGAAAATTTTCTTGTTGAGACAAGATTCAAACGAGGGATTTAATGCTCTGAATTCCACAGCTGAGGGCAAAATTCTCCTCTAGTTCTTTTTTTTAAATATATAAAAACTTCCTCTCTAATGACCTTACATGCAAGCAGCGATGCTAAAAAAGGTAAGTTAATCACCACCCCACCTCATGGCCCCAAAAAGGGAAAAAAAATTCAACCTTCACGCTCAACAAGGCAGCGATAATTCAATATTTTCTCCGTGATAGTTCTTTGAGTTCATCCCCAGCCATGCTAATTAAAAAAAATCTGAATTCCTCACATTTGAAACAACAATTAAACGGAATCTCCTTGTACTATGACACAGAGAAGTCATAGTTAGCCTGGAAAATAACACCAGCCAGACTGCAACAGACCATAACGTAACATCACAGTTACAACTCCAACTCAACTTTGCTCTATCAAAGGACAAATTCTGCGAAAAACATTCGCCCTCTCACACTATTAACAAATATGCAGCAGACTTGCAAATGTAAAGTGGCTCGGCATGAGAGAGCAAAAGCAAACAGCTCTTACCTTGGGTTGAGCGCGTCTTGGAAAGGCAACTTTAGGATCAATCTAAATGAGACAAGAAGGAGAGAAAGAAATATGAGAAAACTGAGCTTGTGATACTGTTATGTGAAGAGGAAAATTAGAAAATATTAGAAAAAGCCGGCAATGTGCTGCGACTACTCGATAACCTTCATGGAAATTATAGCATTAATCATGATGCAATGCTCCATGTCTCATGTGTAATCTCTCCTAGTTATTACACGCTGGTTGCATGAGGCCTGTGTATGACAAAATCGAATAAAACCTTACACAGGTTAGAGCATAATTATTCGATTACAACATAAATAAACAGGTGGCATTATATAACACACCGGAGATAATTCAAAGACTCGCTGAAGAAGTGCTCGCCGCCTCGGGGGAGGTCAGGACGAAATGGCGGGAGGTGTTTTAGTGAGCGCTGTAGATTTGCGGAGAATCAAGACAGGGCATTAGATCAATACATCCACAACCTCCTTCCCCCGAGGGATTAGAATTATTATGGGTGACTCTCCTTCGCTGTACCACACTGCACGAGGGGTTACTGCTCGGCCTATAATGCATTTTGGCATGTGATTGGGCATAACTAGGTTTATTGGTTAGAAAAGCTGTTATTTGATTTTATTATATTACAAACGAAACGTAGTTTTGCACACATCGTGATTAAGAGCATTTGTAATTTACATAAACCGCTGGTGTTCTGAACCAGCGTAACGATTCATCCTGGATATTAATAATAACAAATTTCCCTGGAGGATAAATTAACAACATAAATACGTCAATTGCAATCAAAAAGGTTTTTTCTCTTATTGATCTCTGCATCATACATTTTTAATACCGCAAAATATGTATGATTCTAATGCTAGAAGGGAAAAAAATAATTTTAAGAGATTGTGTCATTAATGATAAACAGGTATTATTGATTTCCACTAGCTGGCTTGTTAGACTTCGTATTAGTGAACCACTTATTTATTTTAAACACTCAAATAAAGATTTTACATAGAGAAAATAAGTGAGTTTCTGGCCGACTTGCTGTTGAGAAAGATGTTTGCTTTGGTCATTTAAACATTCATAGACTAAAACAACAGTCCCTCTTTTTAGCACACAGGCCAAAAGCTTGGGCAGCCAGAGCACTAGAAGGATAGGACGGTAGATAATCATGCATGCGAGAACAAAAACAGTTCAAAGACTTGCCTCTACACTCTCATTAAATGGAAAAATAACTTAAGGGAAAAAGATCCATTAGTGCTATATTGCTCTTGAATATACTGCATGTCTGAATGCTTTGTCACTTCTTATAAATGGTAAGAAAAAGAAAAGCAGAATTGTGAGATGTGGCAGCGTGCAAAAGGGGGAAAAAACGTAATAAACATGTTTTGGTGGAATACGAAGGAGGGGGTCTCCTGGTAAATTAATTTGACCTGAACAGAATTGCAATATGTACACAAAAAAAAAAAAAAACTTTCTGGTGGGAAATTATACTGGTGTGTTATACTTTAATTCATCCAGAAAAGTGTTTAATCTAAAACAGATTGCTTTTAGTCTTTTAGGCAACAGTCTTTCAGTTGTCAATACACAATGCAATTCTCACCCTAGGCTTTCAGATTTGCAGATTACACAGCTTTTAATCAAATGTGAAACAAGTGTGTCAAGAATATCTCTGTACATGTTTTCTTTGGTCCATTTGCACTCTTCAAATGTGACAAAAAGATTGGACAGGAAATTGCAAAAAAGTGGAAAATAGAAAATGCAATAAAAACGTAGCTGTCTGGATTGAAAGATGACACTGCAGGTACTTCTAAACTCCTAAATAAAGCAGGTACCTCATTTATTTCTAAATGAGCCAACTCATTAGTACTCAAATATTGCCAATCTGTAACATAACATCCATATAAAATGCAAATGTACAAAAGCTTATAAATATATGAATATCTATATGGGGTTTACATTTTTTGGATATTATTTAAAATTATTGCAAGTTGTAAATACATATGCAAAAATATATATAAATCTGCAAACAGCAAAAAAAATAAAAATAAGGAATAAGCCTAGGAAATAAAGGCCAAAGGAAACAGGTGGTGATGAAGTAAAGATCAAGCCTTGATCTTTTTAAAGCAGTAATATTTAATAATAGTAATATTTCTTCTATTATAGACATCAAAAGCAAGAGCTTTCAACTGCACTGGCAATTTAAATTTGTTCTTAAACCTCTACCCGGTGCAACTTCCTCACGGCTCCTGGTCTCCAGTTGGAGCTGAAACCCCAGAGTCATGACACAGTCACCCCAACCCTGACGATGACATCACTACCCAGAGCTCAGTAATCCCTGCTTTAGCACCAGCCGCAGTGTCCACATGATCTCAATCGCTCTCAATCCTGGATACATCACTGCTAACGCTAGCTTTCTTTTTTTTCCCCCTCAGCCATTCAAGAGCATTTGAAACGTCAAACCTTGACCCACTTTTTACTAAGAATACTAGAATTACACATGCGTGCCATGATTATGTAATCTAAACGGCCCACTTTTGATGTCCGAATTACAAGTTTTTCGACTAGTGCAACACTGACATGTACAATGTTATATTATTTTATTAATCAGACAGAAACATTCTCCCTCCTAAAGGCATTTCGGCTTACATCAGTCAATGCCAAACTGGCAGAGAGAGACATAATGAATAGCACACCTGTATTTCTAACAGATTTAGGGCACGGAACCAAGAGAGGTGGCGAATATTCACCTGCTGTGCTAAATTATGATTCAGAATTAATATTTGCCCAATTGCTGGATTTAAGTAAACAACCATCAGTAATCTTTATTACCCAGTAATGGGTAATAAACAGTTTAACAGGTTAATCTGCTGTTGACCAAATTAGCCACCTGATCTAATCTAATCAGTGCAACTTGTCAGCGAACCTTAGTTTGGTGTTTTACATCTTTACACACACACACATTATTATGATAAAATGATAATGTTAAATAAAATGTTTTCAATATTAAAATACATCCTCCCTTATTTGTATATATTTTTAGAAATTATTTCAATTTATCTTGCAACTTTAATTTCTATTTGAAACAGAAAAATAATTCTAACCCCATCTTATCACAGAATTACAAATTTTTTGCCAAAAAAATGCCAATAGAATGCCAGTACACAGTGTTCTGGGAGAGGAATATTAGCCACAAAATTCCTGAGGGAAGCTATGAACCTCTGTGAACACCTTTAAATAAGTCTGTCTCTTGATATGAACTTGCAGCAACATGGCATCTATTAAAATAAGTCAGTGAAGGCGGTATTTGTCCACACCCTAGCTATCCCAAATAAAAGGCTCTTTCACTCTGGACTCCTACAGGTAACTAGCAACTGCATCTACAAACAGGAAAGATGGTGACTTTATACATAAAAAAGAAAATAGAATCCACATTAACTTTACTGGTACAGCGTCTGCTTATCCTGGGGTTCACTGTCACACAAAAATCTAAATGTATTTCTGCCTGGATTTAAATTAGGTTGAATAAGGCAAACCTATTTCTTGCTGACAGAAATATACGTATGACTCAGTTTGCATATTTACATGGCCAATGTAAAATAATATAAATAATATAATATAAATACACAATATTTTCCAGATATTACTCCTAATCCTAAATAAAAATGCTTTGGAAGAATCCATACTATATAAAAGGTTATAATATGAATACTATAATATAAATACAATGTTATTCAATTCAAATAAAATACAATATAAATAAAAATGTTTTAATATAAATGCTATAATATATATATATATATATTAGGGGTGCAACGGTTCAACTTACTCACGGTTCGGTTTGTATCACGGTTTT